CTTCTTCCAGTTTTCATCTGTCATTATTCATTGCCATTTCTTTCATGTCTCTTTCTCTGTGTTTCTCTCTTTTAGCTAACCCTTTCTCTGTGGTTTTCTAGCTTCCTTGGCAACTAGCAGTTTGCCTTTTGTCTTCAGTTAAGGACTCATTGCTCCCTTGCAACTGCTGTCCTTCAAGTGGTTATTTTTGCATCCATCTATTTGGCTTCTGAAGCTGTGTGGAGCTCCATTTTGAAAGGTGCTAGAACTTAGAGCTTTGCTCCTCTCACTGTGTAACTCCAGAGATGAAGCTATTTTTCAAACTGAAAAAAAATCAATCAGTTAAAAAATGACTGCTATAACTCACGTAAAGGTAGGACATGCATATGTCTTACAGGGTAGGATGATCTGGGAATGCTCCAGTGAGCGCTTGAAGAACCACAAATGGACATAAGCAGCCTGGCAGTTATGGGGTTTGTGTTGGACTTTATCTGTAAGGCACCAGGATAGAGAGGCTTATCTCAATGTATTCTTTATTCAATTTTTGTGTGTAAATAATATTCAAACCTGTGATTATCAAGGTCTGTCTGAATAAATAAACAAAATATGATGTTTGTGGCAATGTATAGTATATATTTTCTGCAATGATATCATCATATTTTTCTGTTTTTTTCTTCTCTAATATAGTTTAGTTTTGCAGATGGGCTAGATATCATTTTAATGATAATCGGGACTATCACAGCTGCTGCAGCTGGAATTGGACAGCCACTACTGATCATTGTTTTTGGTCAGATGACAAATAGCTTTGTGGGAGCAGGATCCAACCAGAGTATGCCTACAGGTAAAAGTCTCTAAATTTGCCCCAATCCATTTTTTAAAGATATTACTTTAAAGACCCAAAGAAGCTGAGAATTTTGCTGGAAAAACAGGACTGTAAAATACTATCAATTAGTATAGACTTATTTTCTTAAAGAAAAAGTTTAATGAATTCCAGTAAAAGAAAGTCTTGTCCAGGTGCTCAGTATACAGTAACAGGAATTAAAGATTATCAATTGAAGATTAACAAACCTTTATAGAAATTTTCTTTTTTGGAAACCCAATGGCAGCTATGCTATTGGATTTGGTATACAAAATTTTATGCATTCTTGTAAATAAATCAATTGACTCAAAAGCGATTTCATTCTTTTTGCTAGTTTTAACTAATTAACATCATGGCTTACAAACAGAACTTGCATCTCTATAGAATCATAATTGTGTGAGTGTTTAATGATTTTGATTATTTAATTGTTTAGACTTGATTTAACTTCTGTATCTTGTGGATTTTTTTATCATGTTCTTTTTCATTTGTTGTAAGCCACTTTGAATCTCAAATTGGGGAAAAGGTGGGATAGAAATTATAAATAAATAATGTACTAAAAAATATTTAAGAGGCCAAAGCTGTGTAAGAGACTGGAACAAGCTGGCTGTTCCCTCCAAGCCTCTCCATCTTGAGTAAGGCAATCTATAGGGATCTTCTATTCATATTTGCAATCATGAACCCTGAAAAAGCACAGCGTCAGTTGTATGGAGGCTTTTAATAATCTTTTCAATCATTAGGAGTAGTTAAGAGGCCTGTGGGTTGGAGCTTGTACAGACATTGATGAGTATGGCCCACATCTGCAGATACCTGATGGTTACACCTGTGAGGGTTTACTCCAGTGTTGGATAATGTATGACACTCCAGGTGATCTTAGACTGAACTTCCATCAGTCCTAGTCAGTATAGTGAATAGTGAGGCATCATGGGAGATGCAGTTCAACAACATTTCGAAAACCATACATTCCACATACTTGTGCAAGCCTATTCTGAATTGGGCTAAAATATGAGGCACATATCCCTAAGGCAGAGCTACTTTTTGGTCAGCAACCAATAAAATCCCCTAGCCACTATGGCAGTCCTCCCGCCCCCTGCAAACCCAAGCTTTTCCAAGCTCTTAATAAAGGAAACTTTAGCAGAATTTGTTCAAACATAATCAAGAAACACTTTTATGTATCCTATGTATCTTGTTTCCCCCCCACACCCCTCAT